TCAGCTTAGTGAATTATGGCTCAGAACTCCTGGGCTCAGGAAATCAGCCGGTCTCAGTTTCCCTGGTAGCAAGGATTACCACCTATTTATAGCCTTGATTTAATAAACATTGCTGAATCAAATTGGGAATTAAAATTGTTGTTGGCAACTGTGTTGTATTGTTTTGTATGCCTGCAGAGTCTGAGACTCTTTATTATTACCTCTGGGGTGCTTTTCCTGTAATTAGTTAGGGTAAATTCCCATCTGGTGTTGGTGAGGTTTCAATCATATGATTCATAGTCAGAAAAAGGCACGTGTTTTCATCATATATATGTATACACACATATATACATATGTTACACACACATATTTTAAAACAATGTTTAGGATATATATTGTTATGTATGTATGTGTATGTATAGGAGATACATACATCTTTTAAACATTATGCACACACACACTTTATCTACCTATCTATCCACCCTAACATTGTTTTAAAATACCTCAATATAATTGACAAACAGTAAAGATGATAGAGTAAAACATAAGAAACTCATATGTAGTAAAGTGTATTCATATTGGGTAAAAAAAAAGCAAAATACCTACATACAATTAGCTTGCAAATGCAGTTAAAAGCAGGCATTTTTCTTCCTAATCTTTACCTTTTAGGATTCCTAATCATCTTTTTCTTTCAGAAGATTCAGCAACTGAATCTCAGGTCTCAGTTCATAACTTTCTCAACATCAGGGAGATCAGGAAAGGATGTGGAAATGAGGGGAAGGGAATGAAGAAGAGCCATTTCCCTTTAGCACCCCTCTCTTTCCCTTTTCCCTGAAGATTTCCCTTTAGCACCCCTCTCTAAAAGCTGGCCATTTTTCTCTTCAAAAAGAAAGAAAGAAGGAAGGAAAGAAGGAAAGAAAAAAAGGGAAGGAAGGAAGAAAGAAAAATAAAGAAAAGAAAAACAAAATTCCATATGATCCTTTACTACTATTTCTCCAACCATAAGTTCCCTTCGTACCTGACCTTTTTGGAAGAGGTGTGTATGTATGGAATTTCTTCCCTTACCCACCCCTATTTTTTGCCTTCTGTAGCTGGAGTTTTGAAAACTGAAATTTGAATACAATGGAATTCTCCTAGATAGCTGTGGCTGCTCAGAGCTTCTACAACTTGCTTCAGGTACAGGCTGCCTCCCTCTTGCTTCTGCAGGGCTCTCAACTACTAATTCAAACTTGTGGCAGAACATAGTGTTTCTGAACTGCATTTAAGCCACACTTAACAAGCAGAGATTTTATATGGTTTGATGCCAGCAAACAGGACCAGAACCGAATGGCAGCAACCATCAAGTGTCTTCCCATTACACCTTTTGAATTGGGGAAGGGGACGACTTCTTGACACAGCAAAAAGAAGCTTCCACCTGTTTTTATCTGCTCTGTGTTTTCTTCTGGATAAAACAAAGATGACTGTTGTCCCTGGCTCTGTCAACCAACTGTCCCTAACACGTAGTAAAATCAATTAGCAAAGACCACATAGCTCATTAACCTAACAGGAACCCTGCTAAAATCTATTTTTAAGACATGCTGTTTCAATCTACGTGTCTGAGTAGCTGGTCTCCAGGACACTTTACTATCTGTAGGAGCAGCAGGGCAGGGATGAGGTAAGCGAATGATAACACTAAAGGTCAGTTCTGCCAGACACTCCACGGTGAAAGGGCTAGGAGGGAGGAGAGGGGAAGGGCGGTGTGGGATAGCACCATCTCCTTTCATTCCAAATATGAAGCTATTGATCACGGTAAATGTGAAACAACACTATTTAAAATAAATTTAAAAAAATTTATTATTGGGCTGTTGTTAGAAAAGTTGTTTTAAATCAGTACCTACATTTACTAATCACAGCCATTTTTGCTGAGGCAAATGGCTCCATTGGCTTCAGCATTAAAGTATTTGGTTTTTTTCAATGGGAATCATGCACACTAAACTGGAATTTACCATCCTAACTGTAGAGCACATACATACACATTAAGTATGCTCACATATGAACACGTGAGGAAGTATACGTGGATAAGATGCAGTGGGTGATTGAACAAGGAACCTGGCGCCAAGAAAACCTGAGCTTACATGCTTCCTCAGATGCTCACTGACCGTGGGACACTGGGCCAGCGTCATTGTTTCCTGTCTCAGTTAACTCATCTATATGATGAGGAGGTTGAACTCCACGTCTTCTAGGGTCCCTTCCAGCTCTGCATCTGATATCCTATATGGGCACAGATTTGACTGGACCTATGATTTTATTAGCACATAGAACTTTCTAGTGAGGAAATTATAGTTTTAGAGAGTCTCTAAGTTTCAGGGTCTAGGGTCATGAAACCTATGTGTGGGAGAAGTAGGACCTGAACCCATACTTTCTGCCTCTGAGTCCAGGCCGCTTTCTACTATGTCATCTACCTCTTAGCTGTAAAAGATACTTGAAAATAATTTTTTAAGGGAGAAGACAGTATATTGCTTAAATACACTTTATTCTTAAGATGGCCACATCATGGTACAATTGAAAGAGATCTCTATTTAGAGTCAAAAGACTTTGATTAAAATCCTGGTGCCACTAACAATGTGTAGTACTTTGAAAAAGCTGATTAATTTATGAGTGCCTTAGTTTCCTTATCTGTAAAATTAAGGAGTTGGATTCAATGATTTCTGATATCCCTTCTAGCTCTAGATTTCTTACAAGCCTGTGAACCTTGGAGATCATTTAGAGTAAGGGTGCTTAACCTGGGACATGAAATTTTAAAAAATTGCTAATGGTATTTCAACATAATTTGTTTCATTTGTAATCCTACTTATTTTATTTTATATATTTAAAAATGTTACTCTGAGAAGGGTTCCCTAGACTGCCAAAGGGGTCCCTGACACACAAAAGGTTAGAAACCCTTGACCTAGACCAGAGTGATAGAGCTAGAGGGGACTTTAGAGGTCATCTAGAGCTCTTCCCAGACCCCAGTGTATAGATGAGGAAACATGCCCAGATGGTCAAACAGCAATTTTGTGGCATCTCCAGGACACGAAGTCCGGCCTCTTGATTCCCAAGGCAGAAACTAAAATGCATATAGGCAGCTGGCTTTCTAGGGCAGACTGTGAAGTAGGCTGTTTGGCACCCCCAATCTTTCTGTTCTCTCTTGTTCCCCATGGGAATGGCATATATCTTCCTTCATATATTCAAAACCCTTGAGTTCTCATTCCCCTCTCTTCTGACAAACCTGTTCTTAGGAATTCTCAGCAGTTTCCTTGTTAGTATGGACTTAAATCAATGTATTACTTCTGGAGACAATTTTCTTTTAAGTCTTATATTTGTTGAATAACAAATAGCAAGTAGAGTTTTAGGTATTTCAAGGGAGCAGAAGGTGATGGTGGCGAATAAATGGGGAACGTTGGCTAAACTCTTCCTGTGTGATAAGCACTGTGCTAAGCAATGGTGATTCCAATATAAGAACAAGGCAGTGTCTGATCTCAAGCAGCTTATGTTTGAATATAGTAACATTGGCCTTTTGGCTGTTCCTTGCACAGGATACTTATTTCATTCTCTTGAGTTTTCCTTGGGGCTCCCCTCATGCTTGGAAGGCTGTCCCATCTGCACACCTGCTCCTGGCTTTCCTGGCTTCCTTCAAATCTGCTCACATCCCATCTTTTGCCATAGATCTTTCCCAATCCCTCCCTCTCCAGTCTTCTACCGCTAATGCCCACTTTCTGAGATTGCTTCCTATTTATACTGCTTATATCTCGCATGTACATAATTGTTAGTATGTGTCTTCCCCTTTAGAATGTGAGCTCTTTGGACTGTGTTTTTTCCTTTATTTGTATCTTTGAGGCTTAGCTCAGTGCCTGACACATAGTAGGTGCTTAATAAATGCCAATTAGTGAGCATGACATGGATGAAGATCCAACAAAGGAGACAGAAGAAGCCATCAGACAAGTAGGAGGAGGGGCAAGAGAGAGTTGAGTCATGGAAATCCTTAATGGAGAAAATGGGATGCAAGATGCTTGTGGGGAGGTTTATATTGGCAAGAAAGGCCACCTTGGAATTACAGAGTGGAGTAAAGGGCAAAAGAATGGTAGGTGATGATAGATATGGAGAAGAGGGAGCTCTCAGTGAATGGATGATGTAGATTTCACATGAGCAAAAAGTCTTCAATGATTGGAGCCATCCAAAAAAGGAACAAGATATAGCTTGGATGGTAGGAGCAGCTAGGTGGCGCCATAGTGCCTAGAGCCCTGCATCTGGAGTCACAAAGACTCAAGTTCCTGAGTTTGAATCTGGACTCCCACACTTATTAGCTCTGTGACCTATAAAATGAGCTGGAGAAGGAAGTAGCAAACCACTTCAGTATCTTTGCCAAGAAAACTCCAAATGGGGTCACAAAGAGTTGGACATGAGCGAAACAACTCGACAACAGCTTCAATGGAACTTCAGTGGGGTTCTTCAAGCAAAACCCAGAAGGCTACTTGTTGGCTACAAGAAAGCCTTCTTATTCAGGTGGGCGTTGGACTAAAAAGTATCTGAAGTCTCTTGTAACGAACTCTGAGTTTTTGTGATCCCAAAGGGGTACAGTAAATCCAGATATGACTAGAAGATTCATCAAGTCCCCTTTTCCAGAACTGATAAAAACTGCTTCTGAATGTAAAGGACAGAGAATAAACTATAGGTCAATCTTTTTGTTCTGCCTTATTCTGCTATACATGCATAAACATTGTTCTGGGTCTAATATGTATATACGTATATATGAGTGTGTGTATATATAAATAAATATATATGTATATATATATATACATATTTTATATATATATACACATATACACATACAGTGTATATACCTATATACATACTCATATATACATACATACACACATATGTTTGGTCTGAATCCAGTTGGTGAAGAAACCCAAAAGCTTCAACTGTGCCTCCAATAAAGAGACAGTATACTAATTAAGAAATTGAAAGAAAGTTCCCTTATACAACATAAATACAAATGGAAATGCTTTGTAATAGGAGAATTTAATATTTGGCAAAAATCCATGTGTTCTACAGATGGAAAGCCATCTCAGCTTTGTTGATTTTAGTGGGATCTTCCCAGCCGTGCCTTATCTTCTGTATCCTCTTCCTATAGCACGGAAGGAGCAATATGACTTTACCCATCAGGACAACAACAGGAAGTAAAATCGCTATCATAAAAGTAGGAGGGGTGTACCACACGAACTGTTTTACATCCACCCATTTGTTCCAAGCAAAAATCAATGCGTGAATCGTGCCCAGTAAAAGGCAAAAGATTCCCAACTTGCTCTGTGAGGGAAGAGGGAAAAAAAAATTAGTCCAGCAACAATAGGTACAATGATGGTTAATTGCCAATGGCCAATCATTCAATTTGAGAGGAATCGAACTTACCACTTGTTATCGCCATAAATCAAGGCATAGAATAAAAACCCATCTTTGGTAACAGGATTGATAGCCCTAGAACAGTTTTTAATGGCTTGTGTCTATGTCTGATCATCTGCTGGATTATGAGCTCCATTAATTCAGAGACCTTGTCATGTTTGCATCTCTTCCCGAGTGCTTAGCAATGGTGCTCTCCAAATATTGGCCCCTTCATTGATGTCTGTTGAAGCTACTCCAATTTTAATAGAATTTTATTAAAGAATGGTGAATTCTATTAACTTTTACTTTTTAAGCCATTTTGGTTGAGAAATTTTATAATACTAGAAATAATGTGTTTAATATCAATAAAGCACTTACAGGCGTTTCAAATAAAGGGAATCATAATATGGTAGGGAGGAATTGCAAAATTATTGGCTTGGGAAAAAACTTTGTATTTCTTAAAAGGCCCTTTTATTCAAGAAGAATACAACACAATTTGCCGCAAATGTCCACAATTTGCTACTTCCAAAGAACATTCTATTTCCAATATAGGTGTAACTGATCATGCTCTTCTAGAGATATTTTCATTTTAAAAGAGGCCTCCTGAGGACTGAAAAGCTCTTTAAGGATCACCAGTGTTGAAACCTCAGGTACTATAACAGGTAGGGGGAAGACTGAGGGTTTGGATGGAAAAGGATCCAGTTTGGTTTTAAATCACCCCATGTAGGCAACTATTTCCTGCTTCCAGCTGCTCAGATGGAAAATTAATAAATCAAGATCATTTGGGCTATCACAATTCACATCAATCATGGAGACAGTCCCAATGATCAAGTTTGTTGTGTTCTGGTCATGTTGCTGATGGAAGAGAGATGTCAGCATAGCAGGCATTTCCATAGCCTCCAGTATCCACCATGACAGAGCAGAAAGAGCTCTCTTTTTGGAGTTGGGAGACTGGTTTTCGAATCCTGGCTCTACTATCAATCAACTGGGTGATCTCGGACAAATTGGTTCAGTAGGCCTTAGTTTCCCCCCCTAAGCAAAGGGGGTTGGACTAGGTTATGACTAAAGTTCCTTTTAGCTCTGAAATCCTATATCAATTTAGGATCCAGATGAAAACTAAAAAATGCCATCCAACAGTGAAGATACACAGCTGAACCTTTGAAAGGATTTTCTAGTTTTTATCTGGATTATATAATCATATAATGTTACTGGGATAAAAGGGACTTTAGACATAAGCTAGTCTATTAGTTCATTCCTCTGTCTCTCCCTGACATTTTTTTAATTGTTTCCTGACCACTAAAACTTTGTGGGATCCTGACAGTGGAATATTCCATTACTTTGGATGACTTAGTCTTTTTAATCACTTATTTACCAGGCACGATCATTGGCTCACTGGAATGAGTTCAGGGGATGTTTATACAGGGCTATAAAAGTCTCTCATTTTACAGATGAAGAAACCAAGACCCAGAGAAATGATTCATCCAAGACCATGAAATTCAGAAAAGTTTTTCTATGGGCCTCTTACAAAAAGGCTAAGCTAGGTTGTTTGGCTCTATGTTGACATATTTAAAGACTTCCTTCCTTTCATAGATCACGTGAGATTGTAGAAGTAGAGCAGGAAGATATCTTAGAAGCTAAGTGGTCCAGTCCCCTTATTTTGCAGATGAGGAAACTGAAGCTAAGGAATATTAAGGGACTTTCTCAATCTCATAATAGTGGAAATTGATACAATCAGGATTTGAACTAGGTTCTTTAGCTCAGCGCTTCTTAAACTGTGGGTCCTGACCAGTTAAAGAAGTGCGAAACGGGTTATGAGTGGAAAATTTTTAAGAAGCCCTGCTCTAGCTCTTGAGTCATTCCTCTTTCTGATGTACCATACTCTCATTTTTTCCTATTTTCCTTCCTTTTTTCAATCTTTCCCTCATCCCTCCTTTCTTTTGCACACTTCTTGACCTCTGCAACTATGTGGCATCCTGACAATAGAATCTTCAGTTACTCTGGATGCCTGTATTTCTGATTAACTCTTACAGGAATGGATCCAGTTGGCATTTATTCAGCACTATAAATGCATAACAAACAACTCAATCATTAGTTATTACTCTTTTTCAGAAGCAAATCTTCAGAACAAATTATGTCACAATCATTTTTCAAGTACTTAATAAAATTCCAAGTTGGCAGAAGAGATCATGCATCATTGCTATCTGGTGATGAGGTTTGGCGGGGGAGAGATGAATAGATGAATTCATGAACAAAGCATTTATTAAGCACTTATGTTTTGCAAAGCTCTGTGCTAAATCCTGATGATGCAAATAGAAAAGTAAGTTAACAGGCCCTGCTCTCACAGGACTCACATTCAAATGAGGAAATAACAGCTGCTAGTGAGATGGAAAAGTCCCATGGTCCTTATGGCGAAGCGGCAAAGCTGATGTCAATGTCTCTCCTAAGAGACATTTATCATTTCCACTGTTAGAGTAATATCAGTTTCTGGACCCTGGGGGAAGTAGGGCATTGTAGTCCTAAAGTTTCCTTATCCCAGTTCTTCAGTGTCAAGTGTAGGCTCAGCTGACATAAGGTGCTCTTTGTGGTTATAGCTTAAGCCTGGAAAGCACTGGATGCATTCTTGGAGTTTGACAAAGCAGGAGATTAAAAAAATTCTGACAAGAGTTAAAGAATTTCGAAAGACCTGAATGAAGAGTTGAGCAAGAATGTGGAGAATTTAGGACCACTGGCAGAAAGCAGAGACTTCCAGCCTAATCCTGTTAGGGGAAGTGTGGGTGTGTGGAAGGGGATACTGGGATATATCTTTCTGTGAGGTCATCCCTCAAGGTCATCCCAAGTCAACACATCAGAATCATTTGAAAAAAAAAATCCATCAGTGCCTCTGTCTGAACTAGATGAGGTGAATCTTATCTAAAATTCAGTTCAATTCAATAAACATTTGTTAAGCACTGACTTCACTAGGTGCTGGGGAATGTGAAGTTCTTGACCTCAAGGAATTTGCTATATTGAGATTTGAGGGGTTGAAGACGAGATATAGTATATATAAAGTAGAAAGTATACACAAAAACATTTCAAGGGAGCAGATTACAAATCAGGAAAGGCCTCGTGTAAAAGTTGGCACCCAAGATGTGTTCTGAAGGAAGCTATAGATTTTAAGAGGCAGAGATGAAGAAAAAAGGCTAATTCTAGACTTGGGTGGAACCATGCGTGCAAAGGCATTGAGGTAGGAGATGTCCTATATGGGAAATAGAGGATAGGCCAATTGGATTACTATGGAGAGGGCATAAAAGGGAGTAATGTGAAATGAGTCCAGAAGCAACTTGATGTCGGTGGCTGTTTCATTTTTTGTGTTTCTATCTCCAGTGCCTAATAAAGCCTGGCACATAGCAGATGCCTAATAAATGCTTGTTCATTTGTTGGCCCTGATAACACTAGAAACTTCAAGGAAGCCATTTCCTTATCTATAAAATAAGGTAATTGAACAATTGAACAAGGTAATCTGAGCTAAATAACCAGCGAGTTTCAGGTCCTTCCATGTAGGGAGAGATTTCTTATAAAGTTCTGTGTAAGGAGAGCCTTATTTGTATTGGGTTAAGCCTTGTCTTTTTGTATCTGGTGAGGTTTTTTTGTTTGTTTATTTGTTTTTGGTTTTGCTTCTAGGAACAAAAGGGCAAAGACATAAATGTAAATTTTAATTACACCTACTAATACAGCAAGAGGGAGGAGCATTTGCTTTCAACTAACCCATTTATTTACTACCCTGTTATGTACCAGGTACTGTGTTAGGGAAATGATTCTGTGGGTTAAGAAGTCCATGTATTGGCTCTCTTAGGAATGCATAGAGAAGATGTCCCCTTGAGAATCTTACTGCTTTCTTTACTCTATACCTGAATATAGTGAAATTCTCTCCAGGTCAGGGAGTTGCTGACGGATGGAATGGAGGTCACTGCCAGCAGGGCCAACAAAGCAAGTCCCACAATTCCTAGAGAGACATAAATTTCCATTCTCCAAACATCATGCTCAACCCAGGCATCTTCTTTATTTTGTTGGACCTACCAGAGAGGCAAAGAGGAAAGGAAGAATCTGTTTGGTGTTCAGTCATTTCAGTCATTTCTGTCGTGTCTGACTCTTGGTGACACCAGTTGGGGTTTTCTCGGCAAAGATGCTGGAGTGGTTTGCCATCTCCTTCTCCAGCTCATTTTACAGAAGAGAAAACTGAGGCAAACAGGGTTAAGTGACTAGCCCAAGGTCACACAGCTAGGAAGTATCTGAGGCTGGATTTGAACTTACGAAGATGAGTCCTTCTGACTCCAAGCCTGGCACTCTGTCCATCTGACTAGGAAGGCAGCATGGTTCCGTGGATAAGATACTGGATTTGGAGTCAGAAGAACTGGGTTCAAATTATGGCTTTGCTACTTACTCCCTATGGGACACTGAACAATTTACTCAGTCTCTCTGCCTCAGTTTCCTCTTCAGTAAGATGAAAGATGGGGTTGGATTAGATGGCCTCAAAGGTTCCTTTCAGCTCTAAATCTACAATCCTATGACTTGTAGTCTCTGGCTCTGAAAGCATAGATGCTTCTTCAGTCTTCCCTATAGCAGTTAGCCCTGACAGCCGGTGACCCACACAGCCTTCCCCACCCAGGTGGTTCAGCATGCCCGAGGGGAGCAGCTTAGGAACTACAGGCTAGGCAGGGACAGGCCACTGCTGTGGTGTGTGTCTATGAGTATGGCAAGATGCGTCAATGCAGGGTGATTAACGGTGGAGACACAGCCCAAGGACAATACTTAATGGACAATGTTGTGGCATTGGCGGAAGATAATGGGAGGCCCCAGTTATAAAATGAATATGTGACTTATTGGCTGGAACAGCTTTACTTTCCTGCTTTTTGCTTTGAAGGAGGCATTATGGTACAGACTGAAGAATTCTAGCTCAGGAGTCACAAAGACCTGGGTTCAAACTCCATGTCTGACAATTACTGCAACTTGGGAAAATAGCTTAACTTCCCTGGACCTCAGAGGTTTCCTGATCTGCAAAATGAATGTGGTTGGACTGAATGGTTTCAGAGGGCCTTTCCCACAGATCTAGATCTATGATCTTATTTAACAAACAAATGGAACTTATAATAAAAGCAAACATTTGTAAAGCTCTTTAAAGTTTGCCAAGCACTTTATATACATAATCCACAAACCTTCCCTATAAGGCAGGTACTTTGGGGGAGGGGGGAGGGAGAGGGTGGAAAGTGGTCCAGGTCTGTGATTTCTTTGGTTTAGGAATCTCCTAATGAGGAGACTGCTTCTGTGAATGAAGATGGTAGTACCCAATAAAGAAGTAACTTTTCTGCAACTTTTCCGCTTAAAGAGTTGCTTTGGGCAGCCAAGCATTAAGGGATTTATCCAGGGCTACACCACCAGTGTGTCTCAGAGGCAGGATGTGAACCCAATCTTCCTGACTCCAAATTCAGAAATCTTTCTCTTCTATACCACACTATATAAGCCATCCTTAAAAGTTTCAAACGATGAGCAGCTAGGTGATGCAGTCCATAGAGCACTGGCCTTGGAGTTAGGAGGACCTGAGTTTAAATCAAATACTTACTAGCTGTGTGACCCTGGGCAAGTCACTTAACCCCCAATTGCCAAACAAAAGTTTCAAATGAAAGCAGAAAGGCAAGACACTTTGTTGATATAGATTTTCAGGGGGGTTCTGGAGTAGAAATAGGAGAGAGGAATCATTAGGTGATAGAGAACTTTTGGGGTATTAGTATCACAGTGAGAACCGTACCTGTTCATACGCCCAGTTTAGCAGTTTATATCTGTAAGACCTCCTCATTGGATAGGACAAACTGTAAATTGCGTGTAGTGAGGCAAAAAAGAAACTGAGGAGGCCGAATTGCTTCCTTGCCAGCATCCACTTTTCCAACCAACCCGGAAATCTCTTATACTTGGTTCCATGATGAAGTTGGAAAGCAGCTGCGATTATGCCTGGCAAATAAACCAGTGCCAAGAGAGTAATGGAAACTACTGGCAAAACTTTGTTGATGACCAGGATTGGAATCTTATAGAAAAAGTGTGCTCGAGTCATTACAAAAGGGTGGATGACATCCCTTAGGCAAGTATAAAGGAAGGTTATGAGGGCTATGGTGGCCGCCATCTTAATGGGCAAACGCCATTGTGGAAAGAGCTCCTGTTTGTGCCTTAGATCGGGGGGTACTCAAACCCATCGAAGCCAGTCATTTGATGTAAATGGAAGAGGTCAGGTGCCTTTGGGGTGCTGCTATCTCTTGAGCTGTTTGTCTAAAAGAAAGAAAAGGAAACATCTTAAGGAAAATTAGAGAAGACAGTGACGTGCCCATATCATCAACTGTTTACAATTCATATATACTCACTCACATGTAGTTTATAACTTCTGGTATCCAGAATCTCACTGGTGGGTCCCTCCACCAACATAGATCATGACCCCTCTACTGTGACTCAGCACATGGTCTTTGAGAACTGCTATTGTCAAAGTCTTTGTTACTCTATAGACCAGTGGTGTCAAACTCAAGTAGAAACAGATCCCTGTGTCCCCCCCCCACCCAATACTGACTTAGAAAAGCACAAGTTAACATTGTCTAGGTTGCATTTTATTTTTTATTTATTTTGGATCATTTCCCAATTATGTTTTAAACAGGTTCAAGCCTCACTTAAGAGTTTTATGGGCCACAAGCAGAGGGCAGGGCATAAATCTGACACGTCTGCTATAGATAAACTCGTGAGGAGTCTCTGCTTCTGAGACAGCCAGACCCTCACAAAACAGACTGATGATATCTTGTCATTAGGCCTATACTCACAGTTCCAGCCTGGTCAGGGCCGCTAGAATTTGTGTTCTGCTGGGATAGCCTTCAAAAACAGGGGCTGATCTCCACGCCACAGAGAGCCATTGAAGGAGGACTTCAGTGGAGGCACTGGTGGATATATGCTAACTGCTACATGTCATAGCCAAGGCTGCAATTGTGGGACCCAACATCTCTTTTTGGATTCTGGTTAGCTAATGCTGCTATAGTTTAGACTTCACTGTCATCTTACCGTTTATTCCTTTCAAAGGGAAGGGAAGAGAAGAGAATAAACATTTATATAGTGCTTGCTGTATACCAGGTACTGTGCTAAGTGGTTTGCAAATATCTCATTTGATTTTTACTAAGCAGTATATGTGGGCAGCCTAGGTGGTACAACAGATAGTATGCCAGGCCTGGAGTCAGGAAGACTCATCTTCCTGAGTTCAGCTCTCACCTCAGATACTTATTAGCTATATGACCCCGGGCAAGTCACTTAACCCTCTTTGCCTCAGTTTCTTCATCTGTAAAACAAGGTGGAGAGGGAAATGGCAAAACACACCACTATCTTTGTCAAGAAAACCCCAAATGGGGTCATGAAGGGTTAGACAAGACTGAAAAAACCACTGAACAAAGCAGTATATGTACATATATGTGTACTGTATGTAAAGATATATACTTATACACACAAAACCACAAATGAAACATACACTACATGCATATATGTATATATGCAGCATATACATATGTATATCTGTATGTAAAATACATGCATATATATATTTGTGCTTGATGCATACACATACATATACACACACAGATTTAGATCCCACCTCTGCCATGTACTGGCTGTGTGACCATGTGCAAGTCATTTACCTTCTCAGCGTCCCAGGAAAATTTCTAAGACTATAAACTGAGAGAAAATGCTGACTTGCCTCAGTAAAGGGAGTTTTCTCACTTGGAGGGGGTTTCCTATACCAATGAAATCATAGAGAAAGTTCCTATTTATATAGGATATCCCAAAAGTCTTAGTGCAGTTAAAAAAGTTTAGAGCTCAAAATGGCACTAAGATTTTTGGACTCCATATGTGTCTGTATGTAAATATACACACACACACATATGTACGTGTGCATGTGGGTATGTTTGTACCCAGATACATATGTATACATGTGTATATACAAATGTCTATACACATGCATACACACATAGAATGTGGGAAACAGCAAGACAAAATATGCTTGTATGCATATATACATGCATGCATACATATATAGATACACGCATTTTTGTTATTCAGCTGTTTTTCAGTAGTGTGACCCCATTTGGGGTTTTCTTGGCAAATATGCCGGAGTGGTTTGCCATTTCCCTTTCCAGCTCATTTTAAAGATGAGGAAACTGAGGCAAACAAGGTTAAGTGACCTGCCCAGGGTCACACAGCTAGTAAGTGTCAGAGGCCATGTTTGAACACAGGAAGATGAGTCTTCCTGACTCCAGGCCCAGCACTTTATCCACAGTACCACCTGGCTGATCCCAGACTATGATTTCACTGACAGTGAAAACTCCCAGTGCTGAAACTCCCTTTACCAATCCAGATTAGTAACTCATATAAACCTAGTTTTAGAGAGGTATCTAGAGAAGTGAGCTGATAAGTAACTCTCTCATGGTCCCAGAGCAAGCATGTGTCAGATACAGAACCTGAAGCCAGGTCTTGTGACTCCAAGATAGGCCTGCTATCCATTACGGCATACTTCCTACCCCTACTCATAAAATACACACACACACACACACACACACACACACACATGCACATAAACACACGAGATAAAGGATGACTATGCTTCTGTACATATAAGAAGATAACAGGGTGGGGAGAAATGCAACTGTAAAGCAAAAAAAAATTCATAAATCAGGGAGTGAACAATGTTTATAAAATTTGCTTTGAGAAACAATATCTTATTTATAATCTTTTCATTCCATAAGTTTTGAGGAGTTAGTACTTCATCAATTCACAGAAAAAAAGAAAGTTATAGAATCACAGAATTTTAGAACTGCAATGGATCTCAGCAACAATTCCTTTCTATTCTGAAAGGAATCCCCACTACACCAGGTGATGGTATCCTGCCTGTACAGGGAGAGCTCAATGTATATTATTTATGTCATTTATATAAGGCAATAGTATTGAGTCCGTGGGAAGCTAGGTGGTACACTGGATAGAGTGGTGGCCCTGGAGTCAGGAGGACCTGAGTTCAAATGTGACCTCAGACCCTTACTAGCTGCGTGATCCTGGGCAAGTCACTTAACCTTGTTTGACTCAATTTCCTCATCTGTAACATGAACTGGAGAAGGAAATGGCAAAGCATTCCAGCATCTCTGCCAAGAAAACCCCAAATGGGGTCATGAAGTTAGATATGAATTTGTCTAGCAATCCTGGAAAATAAATTGAAAAATTTCAAGCAAAATAACTAAAGAGATCCAGTGATCCACTTAGTGGGAATATACCTCAAACAGAATAAAGACAGAAAGAACGGTTCTATATATACCAACATATTCATGATGGCACTTCCTGTGGCAGAAAAAAAAACTAGAGACAACATCCATACCCATTGAAGGGACAATGTCTAAACAAATTGTGGTGTGCGAAGGTAATGGGATTTATTGCATGCTAAGAAATGAGGAATTTGAGGAATTCAGAGAAACATTGTATGAAATAATGAAGAGTGAAGAAATAAGACCCCAGAGAATAATATACAAAAAGATCATAATGATATAAATGAATAGAACACTAAAAGGCAGATGAACTTGGATAATGCAGTGACCAATCTTGGTTCCAGAGGACAGATGATGCTAACAAGGGGTAGGACAATGGATACAGAATATTATCTGTGGCTACCTTATGTAACTGCTATGCCAACTTTTTTTCTCTGTTGCCATTTGTCAGCTCTATGACCTTGGAAAAGTCATTTAATAAGAGTTTCAATTTTCATCCATAACAATGAAGTTGCTAATAATTTTATTCACGTTATGGAGGTCTTGTGAGAAACAAATGAAATAATGTACGTAAAGTGATTATGAACCATAAAATACTACATGTGCTATTGTTATTATTATTATTATTGTTGCTTGGATTATTATTATTTTTTTACCAAGTGATCATGTTCTTCCATCTTCTCCCTAATCTTCATTTCACAAAGTTCCTCTTGGTTTGTGATATCTTTTCTGTTTTCCATCCTAGAGAGAACCTGCAAAACAACACATAGTGAAATAAAAATGTTTCTTAATGAAAGTAATTCTTTTCATTATAATGTAGTTTGATGGATCATTTTATGAACTCAAGGTAGAAACTGTGGTAAAAAATTGCAATTCAACAGGCAAGTGAGGCCTATGGACTACAATATGGGTAGCCCTAAGGAGAGCCTTTGGGGCAATGGAGAGTTGGCTTCCAAGGAAGGAAGACTCAGATTTAAGTCCTGCCTCTGGCACCTACTGACTGTATGACCCTGGGCAAGTCACTGACATCTCCAGTGTCCCCGGGAACCTCTCTGATACTGTAAGTTGCACAGCATTTGCCAATTTGCATTATTGAAGCGAATTTCTCCATCAAGAGTTCCTTGTTACTGTTGTTGAGTTGTTATAGTTTTGTCCAACTTTCCGTGACCCCATTTTGGGGTTTTCTTGGCAAAGATATTGGAGTGGTTTGCCATTTTCTTGTCCAGCTCATTTTATAGATGAGGAAACAGAAGCAATGGGATTAAGTGATTTGCTCAGGGTCACACAGCTAGTAAGTATCTAAGACTGGATTTGAACTCAGGTCTTCCTGACTCTAGGCCTGACACTCTATCCACTGCACCACCTAGCTGCCCATCAAGAGTTCCCTACATTAATTCAATCACACATTTATGTGTATATGTGGTTGTGTGTAATTATGCAAGTTGTATAACGTAGTGGCTAGAGAGCCAGGCTTGAGGTCAGGAAGATTTGAGTTCCAGTCCTTCTTCTGACTCATACTAGTTGTGTGTGACTCTGAATAAGACATTTAATCCTTCTCTAGATGCTTTATCCCAAAATGCCTGAGTGCGGGCTGAACCAGATTAAAATGTAATTGGGAAAAATTTAACAAAATAAATAAAAATACAGCACAACCCAGATAACATTACATTTTAAAACTAAGTCAATACTTAGCCATGGGGATCCTTACACAATTACTCTAGGCAACTAACTCTCTAGAAGCCTTAACTGTAGGGGAGGTAGAGACCCACATTGGTGAAGGGCAATTCCTCACCTGGGAACTGAAATAAATATACAAATTGAAATAAGGATACATATATATTAGTGAAATCACTGGTTCAGTCCCTTTCTCCATTATGTATATGAGAAATTTATGCACATGTACGTATATAGGCATTTCTGACTTGCAGATAATTGTTTAACTTGGATAAACTATTTTTCCACATGGACAGATAGTAAAAGATTAGGAGCTAAAGCCCACCTTCCCCATTCCCTTGCAAACTGGCCATTATTTTCCAATTTGAAATATCCAGAGGAAAAAAAATGATGCAGAGAAGTACCTGCTCTTTTGTCGTTACAGAAATGTCAGGAGGTGTCTTCTCCACAGATGCAGAGGAGTGGAGATTTAACTAATTACGTTCATCCAGGAGGAGCAGGAGTTACCTAGGAGAAGGGCAAGACGTGATTTTACCATAGAAATGATATCATAAAATGTAATAAGTATGCTTAAAATAGCCCTATTAGTTACTCAAATTCAGGTTTGGTGGGTTCAATATGCTTCTGTGGGCTGGCCCGGAAAGTTAACCAAGAAACAGGCTCATATTAATTTTTAGAGGACAGCCTGTTCTTACGTTCAGTATTTTCTATATATTGAAACTTATTTGACATATCACCTACCCCCTTACTTTCAATTTCCCGCTGAAGTTATGCATTTTTTGTATGTGAACATGATTGTATGGCTGCAGTAATATTCCATGTTGGTTTTCCAGGCAGGAAGATGAGTTGCTGGCTCTCACCAGGTACCCGTAGGGCCCAGAATACCAGAATCTGAGTATGGAGGGACCTTAGAGTTCATTTAGTCCAACTTGTCATTGAATGTAGGAATCTTCCTTACAATATCCCCAACACCTGATTATACAGCTTCTGCTATAAATGTTTCCAGTGACAGCAAGCTCATTACCTCACAGGTTAGCCTATTCCATTTATGGACAGCCCTAATTGTTAGAAGGTTCTTAACTTAATTTTGGATGGATTCCTAGATAGAATGGGGTCAAAGCCCATGAAGAAACACAACAGTTTTCTTTGCAAAGTAGCATGACACAAAGCATGGAAATAAAGCATGGTGCAAGGGAAAGGTCACTGGATGTGGAGTAGGAGGCAGGTGAACTTGTAACTTTCAATCCAAATTAATATAACTAGCGAGATGCTCTATGTCCAGATACCTCTGTTAGGTGAGACTAGCTTTTTATTGGGTTATAGAATCAATCATGAATCAAAGGTGTAAACCAGTAACAACTGAATGAAAGCAGATGGTTACACAGGGATAGAACCAACTTATAGTTGGTTGAAGACACAAAGCCATACTTTGTAGGGTTTGGATGAAAGAAGATTTAGACTCTAGGATTCTAAAGCTGGGTAGCAAAGTTGGGGAACAATTCCACTCAAGCCCCCGAGAAACAATTGCTTAGAAGGAGGAGCACAGTCTCCATCTCCTCCCCTCTCTTGAGGAGAGAATGACTATGAAATTTGACAGGTCAGAAGACTTTCCAATGGATTTTCCATTGGAAACTTGACACACTTAGGAGAGGTGGCATCAGGACTCTACGAAGTCCTACTCTACCCTGAGAGTCCAGAAGAGAACTGCATTCACTAAAAGATGGAAAGGACTTCCAGAAACCCAGGAGTTGTGAATGACCTTTTTGATATGTGTGTTTTTAAGTTTGAGTCTACCTTCCCTTGAAGTTCTGTCAGTACACATGAGAGAGTGTGTCCCCAGCCTTTTGGGACAAATATTTTGTACCAAACATGCTTGCTATATACTACCTTAGTAAATAACATTTCTAAAAGCTACCAGCTTAATGGCTAGTAATCAATGAGGAGAACACCGCTGGGGGCTCGTGAGTGATAGTACTACTCAAGAAACACCCCAGACTTTCAGGGTTACTTCTAGAACTATTCATAGGGAGAAGTAGCCGACCTCAGGGGACTCAGCCTGCCAATGTTAGTAGGAGTTGGGAAAATGAACCCAGAGGTGCTGCTACATAGAGGACCTAGTTTTCAATGCTGGCTGTGTTGCTTCAAATCAGCATGCGTTTATTATTCATTATCTTTCTATTTAATTAATATTTTAATAATTATAAGATATTATTATAATTATATATGTATACATATATACACACATGCAAATACATATATATGTATATGTAAATATATAATTAGTAATTACTAATAACAAATAATTAATTAAGTTCTTATTATGTGCCAGGAATTGTTAGCATTATAAATTTAGAGTTAGAATGGACCTCTGTGGCCTTCTGTATAAAAATCATTTTGTATAGATGAGGAAACTGAGGTACACAGGGTTAAGTGACTTACCAGAGTCACACAGCTTATAAATGTCTGAGGCCAGAATTTATAGGTGAGAGAATTCAAGGGTCAAGAACACTAAGTGACTTGTCCAAAGTCATACAGGTAGCAAACAGCAGGAGTAGGATTTGAACTCAGGTCCTCTGTTTCCAGAGCCAGTGCTCTTTCCATTGTGCTAAGCATTGGGGATACAAAGACAACGCAAAAGGTATTCTTTGTCCTCAAGGACAAAGCTGCATGACCTTGGGCAAGTCATTTCACCATTTTGAAACTCAGTTTCCTCACCTGTAAAGTTTGGCTTAAATGATCTATAAAGTTCTTTCTGTTTCTAAGTCTATGATTTATTCAATTTAGTTGAAAACTTCAGCAAATACCAACAGTCTGGGACCGTGTGGCTATTAAAGCTGTGCACAACCTTGGCTTTCTTGGCAGCAGCCTATAACACATTCTGAACTTCCATCAGGCTATCACTTCAATGGATCTGGACAGGAAGTCTTGATTAAAAATAACGAATATAGTTGACATCTAAAAGTGTCTTATGTTTTGCAGTGTTGCATACATTATCTCGTCTAATCCTCTAATGACCTGACCCTGGGAGGTAGGTTGTGCACAATAAGGAAAGTCAACCTTTAAGAAATGAGAAAGTATAATAATTCTGAATTTGAAGGCTATTTGTCAAAAACATCTCTTTCTTCTGAAATGGAAGGTGGTCTCCACGAGTAAGTTTCACCTTATAATGTGTGGGATTTTTTTAAAATTTGAAAATCACTCTTCTTCACCAAAATGTTTTAAGAAATCAAGAAAAGTCTAGTTCATCCCCATTTCTCAAAATGCTTCAAGGACTCCTCAGTGCAGATGTCTCCCCAGCACTGCACCCAAATTTATATTCACCCCCAAACTTGCTCATGCCTCTGACTTAATCATTCTCTGGCAGTAACATCTTCATTCATGGAACACTCAATGACTTTTCCTGTTCCTTCACTTCCCATATCAATGCTCCAGTCTTCCAAAATTCCTCTGGGATTCATCCCCTTTTCTCTAATCCAATTGCCATCTTCATAGTAAAGCTTCTCATCACCCTGTGTCCTGACAATTGCAACTGTTTCTTTTTTTTCAACAGTGACACATCTCTTGAATCCTTCATGCTCTACTTACTCTATCATGATTTATATGCGTGCCAGATTCATCTTCCTAACAGAAGAAACTGGGCATGGCCATTCTTTGTTCAAAAGGTCATATCCTTCATCCTGTCATTCAAGGCTCTCCACAGTCTGGCGTAATCTTACTTTTCAATCATTATCTGCATACAATTCTATGTAACATTCCTCACGTCGATCTCTATGTCTGGAATGCCCTCCCCTCCATCTTGTCTGTTGAAATCTTAACCAACTTAAATGCTACCATTTTCATGAAGCCATCCCTGATAGCCTCGGTCAGTAATGCTGTTTTCCCTTCAACATTTCCCTCAAAGACTTGGTTTATATCTGTAGCATTATACATCATCTACATATATACTATTTGCTTCTCCTTGTTGGAGAGGCAGCATGCTATAGGAGCAGCTAGGTGGTGCGGTGGGTAGAGCCTTGGGCCTGGAGTCAGGAAGACTCATCTTCCTGGCTTGAAATCTGGCCTCAGACATTTACTAGCTGTGTGACTCTGGGAAAGTCATTTAACCTCATTTGCCTCAGTTTCCGCATCTGTAAAATGAACTGGAAAAGGAAATGGCAAACTATGCCACTCTTTTTGCTCAGAAGACCCCAGATGGGGTTATGAAGAGTCAGATATGGCTGCAAAATGAATGAATAACAGTGGTGAATGGTGTAGAATGTTGGATTTGGAGACAGAGAAGCTGGGTGAGAATCTCAACTCTGCCACTTGTTTCCTGGGTGATCTTGGACAAATCACTTAACCTCGATAGGCCCCATTTTTCTCCTGCTTGAAAAATGAGGGGTTTAACTAGATGACTTCTGAGGTTCTTTCCAGCTTTAAACTGATGAATTGATGATCCTAAGGATAGTAGCACTTGATTTTTACTACTGCTTATACCTTTAGAACATGTGTTTGAAACAGAGGAAAAATCAAGCAGACAAGCAAATATTTATTCAGTGGTTCCCATACCCTAAGTCCCGTGTTGGGAATTAAGTTGGAGATGAGAAAAATTAAGACACAACTCCTGCCCCCGAGGATATTACAATCTATTTATTTATGAGATGCTGTACCATGGAAGAGTACATATTGTCCTGTGTTACATTAAGAGCAGATGACTGGGCTAGGAATAAAAAAAATCATTTCTATTAAAACAGACATTGAATTCTTTGATGTTTTAAAGGTAACATTAATGCGGAAAACTAAATGGAACAAAGGCCATATTAACACAGAGAAATTGACATTACTTTCATGTTTCATGATATTCTTGCCTCATCAAACCCTATACAATATATCTGAATTTACATCCCTTTGGGGGAAGCCAAGCTTATGAAGTTTGTTAGGAAATAGCTGCCATCCATTATTGCATACTTTCTGTCTTAACATTTGCCAGGTGAGCAGTGATTGAGATGTGATTTTCATTTGAGTAATGCCTTGTTGCATTCCAAATGAGTTTCAATAGCAAAGGATTTTTCTGTCTTCTATAAAATTGTCACAGTGTGTATGAATTCTGAATCCCTTAAATTTGTTCATTTCCAACATGTTTTGGCTGCTGTGCTAGGTTCTAAGCGTGCTTAGATTGTTCTGCCGTGTAGGAGCATCTACCCGTGAAGCTCTCCAAAAGACTGAAATGACTTCCATTTTCTGCAATGGATTACTTCAAGTCATGACATCAGAGCCACAAGCATGGTGGGGGCAACTGGGACTTTGACCTGGTTCACCAAATTTTGAGGGGCCTGATAGCACTTGCAGTCTTGCTGTTCAGTCGTTTTTTGGTCATGTCTGACTCTTCACGACCCTTTTGGGGTTTTCTTGGCAATGGTGCTGGAATAGTTTGTCATTTCCTTTTCCAGCTCATTTTACAGATGAGGAAATTAAGGCAAACAGTGTTTAGTGACTTGCCCAGGGTCACACAGCTAGTAAATGTCTGAGGCCATATTTAAACTCAAGAAGATGAGTCTTTCTGACTCCAGGACCAGCACTCTATCCACTATGCCATCTTTAGCAACATAGAAACAGCAGAGCTTAGCACTTTATAAGAAGAGTAATGAGCGAAAATAGGAAGGGATCAGATGGGTAAGCTTTTGCCTTCCGTACTTACTCTGCAACTAAGCGTACACTTTATGCCATTTGCCATGGCCCTAGTTTGTGGTACGCTCTCCTCTCTCCCATCTCCACACAAAAATTCCTAGCCATCACTGCACAAGACTAAACCGTGTACTAATACATAGCTAGACTTCTGTCTCTCTTATGAAACTCCATCAGATGTTTGTGGGGTCTCACTCAACAAAGAGCTGGAACTTAGTGGAGTGAAAATCAATTGACATTATGAGGAGGAAATGGTAGAGAGGAAAAGGGAAGGCAGATAGGATGAGAAGGTTGGGGAAAATCCTTCTCTTAATTTGTGGTCTAGAGCCTGTCTCATCTAAGAGTCAGTACAAAGTTGCTTTGGCCATGGCACTGAGGGGGTGAATAAAGGTCAGGGGGCTCTTCTCTGAGGCACCCACCAGATTGGCAGTGCTAGGGGACTTAGGGCCATTATTTACATACAATACAAAGGTAGCTTTACAAACTGGGCAAATGGACAGTTTTCATCTAACCATTAGTTTCAGAGAGCTGGGAGGCCATTTTGGAAAGCATTGCCAAGGAAAAACCCAGGGCAACAAGTTAAGTGTGGGGGTCGAGGGCAAGGCTGCCATCGATGAAGGAGCAGACAGGATGTATCCAGTCACTAAGTAAAGTAAATTTTACAGACTGTCATCAGATAAGTCTCTGCTTGTACCCAGACATTGATAATCACAACACATAGCAGTCTTCATATGTTTTATTTATTCCTGCTTAATTTCCTCATTTTAAGCAGAGGAAGCTTGGATTGGGCAACTCAGCAGAAGGCATTACAGTATCTAGGTGTCAGGAGCTCCAGGGATTGACTCCTGCTGTTCTTAGAATGTTTTCCATTTCATTTGGCTGCTCCAGGATCATTGGGCTGCAGTTTATGCTAAATATTGACTCAGTCATAACTGGCTCCTGCTTATGTTGAAGGCATCCGGATATGAAGAAACTGAATGACTAGAAGACACTGTGGACTGCATTACATTTCCAAGCCTTCTTATAATTACTTGTGTACACTTGTTTTACCACATTCAGCTGGGAAAGGCAGATGTTTTCCTTTGCTGTTTTTTTAAGCATTTGCCTTTTTTTCCTCTCCTACTTAAAATTCATCTACCAAAATCCTCACAGGGTGTGGAGACTCCTAGAGTCTGAGCCTGCAGAGCTCAATCTTTGGGTAAGTCACAGAATTTTAGAGCTGGAAGCCTCCCCACCCACCCAATAAATGAAAAAGAATGTCTACCACAAGCTGTCCGACAAGGGGTTATATAGCCTTGGCTTGAAGACTTCCCAAAGTAGTCTAGTCTACTTTTGAACAATTCCAATAGGCATTTCCCAGCTAGATCTCTCTCTCTCTCTCTCTCTTCTCTCTCTCTCTCTCTCTCTCTCTCTCTCTCTCTCTCTCTCTCTCTCTCTCTCTCTCTTCTCCTTCCCCCCCCCACAAGGTTCTCTCCCGTTTACACTATATATCTATATCTATATATCTATACATACACAGACATGTCTTACGTGGACATAGTTGTTTATATGTTATCTTCCCCATCAGAATGTTAGATTTAAGGTTCTTTACCATCCTGCCTCAGGGTGTTATCTAGCTTATCAATGCCCTCCCTAAATTGTGCCCCTCAGACCTGATCACTGAACACTTCTTATGTGATCTGACCAGGGCAGAATACAGTGGGGCATCACCTCCTTATTACTCTCAATGCAGCCCAATACCGCATTAGTTTTTTTTCCCCTCCTCTGCCGTTACCATTGACTCATATTGAACTTTTGGTCCAACAGGTTGTGCCAAACTAGAAAGGCCTGGAATATGGGCTTACAGATAGATTGCATGCCAGTTGCCTGAAGAACAGCTTGGCTAGGCCTGGGCAGCCTCCTTACTAGGTTGGCTGAAGATTAATAAACCTTGGGATCATAGCAACTTCCAAGGATCATCTATTAAGTAATATAGAAAGGGTGAAATCAGCTTTGGCAGAGGATGTACTCATACAAAAGCATGGCTCTTTGAAGTAAAATTTATATATGGCTAATGTCTTTTAAAAATGTAATTCGATATATGCACAAAGTACATATTTATTATTGTGCTATGAGAAATTGGAAATATAGAAAATCCAAATGTAGCCCTAGGCCAAAGGCCAATTATATGTGACTCTGTTCATTGGTGGAAACTGATTGTTGTATGAAGGGCAGGCAGAGTTGGTGCTATGGTACATCTTCATTATTATCCTATAAGAAATCGGGAATGTAGAAAATCTGGATGTGGCCCTTGGCTCAAAGGGCCAATTATATGGGACTCTCTTTTCATTGGGGGAAACTGATTATTGTGTGAAGGGCAGGCAGAGTTGGTGAGAGCTGGAGAGAAGAGAGATTCTGACTTTCTGTCTACTAGCTTTAGGAAAGAAGATGTAACATTCCAACTTCTCTTCAGTTCTCTGAAGGGAGAGGGAGACTCTGGGAAGAAGCTGACATGAGAGGAGTTGGTAATCTCTGTTATAACTCTGTCCTCAGCTTGCTATACCAGAGACTTCAAGGAATTTCCCTGAGAGATGGGATAGCATGAGGTCTGAGACTGTCATGGTTGAGCTGAGTTACCTTGCTCCCAATCAAAAAGCTCATTCATTCTGTATTGCTTGGTAAGTATTCTATGCATACGTTTTCTGACTTCTGTCTTGCTATAACTTAGATAAATGGGTTTGTATCTTATTTGCTTTGTATGTTCATTGTGGAACTGGCATTTTGTGGAAGGGGGTCAAGCTTTGTTTATATTGCTCGTGTCTCTCTTTTCCCATTAAGGCATAGAGATCAGGAGTGTAGCTTGAACCTAAAATTTTACTTTCCCTAGACTTTTTTTTTTTTACTTCCCATAGACTTTTATATTTAAGGGACTAGATAGATATACTTCTAGCCCCAAAGCCCCTTTCTCTGGGGAGAGCAGAAGGGTCAGCCTCTGGCCCCAACCTCTGACTTCCCCTCCTGGTAGGAATCAAAGTCTTCACTGGAGAAGGATGGGAGAGATGCTAGAGATATGTATTCTTGCCTCCTCATGAGCCACATCGAGATAAATCTAGGTGGGCACACATAACCTACATGGGTAAAAACAACAATGTAGCACCCACCATGTCACCATAGGAAGACACAAGTGATTCAGAGTAAGGAAAGCAGAACCATTAGGATGACATAAACGGTGACTACAATACTGTAGTGAATAATGAAAACAAAAAAACCCTCAGAATTCTAATGAATGGCCATGAACATTTTCAGTGCTGGAGGGCTCTGAGTAGAGGAGGAGGGACTACAGATGTGGAGCACTTTACATACACACTCAGATCCAGTAGTTTTGTCCTTTGCTTTTGCTTGAATGTCTTTCTTTGTTATAAGAGTTACAATAGGAGTTAGGGGTAGGATTGGGTAGAAGGAAATGACTGTGGTAAAAGGGAAAGGAAGGGAATACTCATTTATTTAGTGTCAACTATGTGCCAGGAGCTTTACAAATATCATCTGATCCTCACAAGAATCCTGCAAGGTAGGTGCTGTTATTATCCCCATTTTACAGTTGAGGAAACTGAGGCAGACAGTGGGTCACACAGGAAGTGTCTGAGGCCAAGTTTGAGTTCATATCTTCCTGATTGCAGACGTTTGCTCTGTCCACTGTACCACCTAGTTAATTAACCCTTGCATGTAAACACAAGGCAACAGACTTTAAAAAAAGATGTAATTCATTAGAGAGTGTATTTTTTTTTAAATAAGAAAAAAAAAACCAGGGATGGATTGCCATAGTTTAGGCCATTTCTAGTGCTTGGTCTTTTCAACCTGCCCGGTTAGTGAAACATTTATATTTATAACCAACCCATTGGGAGTGTTATTCCTGAGTGGGAAGATATGAAAGAATTTTTTTTTCTTTGTTCAGTTGTCTTTGCTGACCCCATTTGGGGTTTTCTTGGTAGAGATACTGGAGTGGTTTGCCACTTCCTTCTCCAGCTCATTTTACAGATGAGGAAACTGAGGCAAACGGGGTTAAGTGACTTGCCCAGGGTCACACAGTTCAGAGGTGTTTGAGGGCAGATTTGAGCTCAGGAAGATATCTTCCTGTTTCCCACTGCACTATTGAGAGAACAGGCTGAAAACATGAGGATTATTCCCTTGGAAAACAGGAGTGAGGGAGAGGTACCAGTGAAATCACTTGTCTAAGGGCTGTCCTCCACAGCCAAGCACAGGGCCTGGCATGCCTGCTAAACGTTTGTTGATGGATTCATTGACTAATCTAAGCAAAATGCATGTAGCGCTGGCAAACGTGCAGTACGCAAGAGGAAGCTGGAGAACACGTGGGGCGACTTTTCATCAGAACTCAGCCCGAGGCTTTCTCTCTTTGGCCATTCATTCATTTCCCTGAGAGTCACTGGTTTTTAGTAGAGAAGCGGGCTGCCCTTCCTCCGCACAAGGGAGCGGTGTGATCTGAGGTTAGCTGGGCTGTTCCTCGCCAGGGCAGCCAGGCATAAAGGATGCATTGAGCTCCAGCCCAGGCAAATTTGGTCAGCGCCTTCCTCCAACAGGACAGCTCTGAGCTAGGGGCTCCCAGGGCTCAGGGAGAGGGAATGCAAGGCAGCAGGGAGAAAACTGCAATTGAGCAAGGTAAGACTCACCAGCTGCCAGTCCCGGAGGAGCTTCTGCTGCAACAGCGCTTGGTCCAGAAGTGTCCTGCCCCGCTCCCGCTGCCCCCCACCTCGACTTTCCACCCACAAAGCACAGCCAGCCTCATCAATTTCAGCAATACCCACCTTCTCCCGGTTCTACACTGGCTCTCCTTTCCTCCTTCCCTCGGGTCAAATATCCTTTCCCTATCCACCCCTTTCCCTCCCCTCCCCTCCACTCCACCAGTAACTCCTCGGGAACCCCCGCCTACGGGCCCAAGCTCCTCCCCCAGTCGCGATTCCCTGCCCCTGCCCCTCTCCGGGGAAATAATGCTCACTTCTTCAGTTTGCTTTCTCTGCCGCCTGAGTTCTTCAAGCCCTTTCCTGTGCTCTCCCCCGCCCCCTCACCCATGGCCAGGAGCCCCGGACCAAAGTGCAAGATCCCCCTAAGCCCTACTGCCCCAGCCCCGGCCCAAGAGCGCTGGGCTCCGAGGGTGGACCTCCATGACCTGAGACTCCGATTGCTAGGTCCCCTCTATTCCCGCCCGTCCTTCAAAGTCTCCATCGGTCTCCTCGCCTCGACTTTCCAATTCCAGAAACAAGGGACCCTATTTAACAACTGCTCGTAGTGGAAAAAGAGCTTCTAGTCTGCGCAGTTCCCATCTGGGAGGCTCTTGCACGTCCGGGATGGAATTCGTTTAGGGTTTGCTTTCTACAGAGCGCACCTCAGAAGCATGGCTTGGGGTGTTAGCTCCCGAAAGTGAAGGGCGGGCTTTTCCTGCATTTCTGGGGATGAGGCCAAGCTCCCTTTGCGCAAGTCTTCCTGGAGGTACCTGATGGACGCAAAATCGGGGGTTTCCTTTGTATCCAGAACCAAACAAATTGTTCAAGGTCTAACAGTGTTTTCTGTGTTTCATCCACAACTTAACCCAGCCCGTTTATTACTGCTTTTGAAATCTTGGCATTTATCCTCAGTTATGGCCTGTCCTTTCAGTAGCTTCATAAGATCGCCACAGATTGACACCTGGTGGTGAAAATGGGAGATCCTATGAAAAAGGCTACCCATCTCCTGACACTACAGAGCAAGTTATCTGTCTGCTTTCTTCCCTCTTTCTTTTCTCTCTTTTCTTCTCCACACACAAAATAAACACACACGTATATGTGTATATATCTCACTGTTCCTAATACACGTATATGCACATACCCACATATATGTATATGTTGTATGTGTATACACACACATATTTGGACATGACCAAGTAGGAATTTGTTTTCTGTGACCATACATATTTGTTACATCGGTTTTCCAATAGGGGTGAAGTAGGAGGGAGAGAAGGCAGATTTTGGTTCATTTTTAAAAATCAATTTGAATTAAAAAGAAAATTTTAAAAAGAAAAAGAAAATGGGAGTCCTCTAAGGTTAAGTGGTAGGAAGCAGAAACAGTTTTGCACCCAGATTGGCCAAAGAGAAACACCGCAAACTAATGAAAGTTAAACAGAAGCAAAAGCATTTGGAGAAAACTGAACACTTGTTTGTTTCCAAACCCATCTTTTTTATAGCCAGGCAAACCACTACAGTGTGTTTAAGTCTTGTTGAATTTGGAAATTTAAAGTTTATAGGGTCTTAGAGCTGGAAGGAATCTTATAGGTCAGTGAGTCTAATCCCCTCACTTTAACTGAGTGGACACCTTAGGTGACTAGGGTCTGAAGCCAGGTCTCCTGATTCCAAATCCAGTATTCCTTCCAGGGCACCAAGATCTGGAGATGTGTACACTATAACACTATAAAGTTAGCAAACCAGCAGTGGGCCTACTGTTGGATCCCAAATCTAGCCCTGTGATTTGGGGCAAATCTCTATTACCCCTCCCCCACCCAGGGCCTCAGTTTCCAATCTGTAAACATGAGGGGGCCTGACTCAATGTTCTCTAAGGTATCTTTCAGCTCAAATTCCCATAACTACATAAATGAAAGGTAAATATAATGTCAGTGACTCATTCTACAGGTTGTACTTGAGTAAAGCACCCTTTCAATTTCATAATCTCTATTCTAGATGTAGGATTAGTATAGTAGGATAAAATGACTCATTACAATGGTTCCCTTACTCTGCCCTAAGTTAAAACTTCATATCACTTCTTGATATACTTATTAAAATAAAGTTATGCATTTTGGGGAAGCTAGGTGGTACAGTGGATAATGTGCCAGCCCTGGAGTCAGGAAGACCTGAGTTCAAATCCAGCCTCAGACGCTATCTATGTGATGCTGGGCACGTCACTTAACCCTATTTGCCTCAGTTTCCTCATCTGCAAAAAGAGGTGGAGAAGAAAATTGCAAACCACTTCAGTATCTTTGTCAAGAAAACCCCAAATGGGGTCATGAAGAGTTAGACATGACTGGATTTAGTTTAATTTTTTGAAATATTTTGTTTGTTTTTTGAATAGATTCTAGACATATGATTGGTGTTGGAAACTCCTGGAGTGAAAATTTTCTACTGATAGAGAGCACTAAGAGGTGAGCACCTTGTCTATGGCCTCTTGGCTAATCTGTATCAGGCTGAGTTGAACCTCTGTTTATCTAACTCCAAGGCTGTCCCCAAATCTACCATATTGTACTGGCTCTCTGAACTTCTTAGAAAGTAGATAAGTGGGTTTGGTTTTTTGTTTGTTTTAAGCTCAGTAGGCTTCTGAGACAATTAAATCTAATTAAGACAACCAGTTTATAGACATTACATAACTCTAATGAGAATTTTGGGCAGGAAGCCTGTGTTATTCATTGGCGTTTCTGCCATGAGGCATTGGGGTAGGACCTTAGTAGAGGAGACTCTGGGTTCTCAAAGGCTAACAAAAGCTCTAGCTGACTCTACGAAACTTGAAAAATTTCCAGCATAGTCAGAGACAGATTGGCTACTGTGCAGACCCTACCCACATCCCTATAAGTTGGCCATTTAGTAACTAATTTTTTGAATGTGATGACCTATGGGGTAGTCAAGAGATTGGATGGTCAAGCCATTTAATCTCGGTTTCTTGTAAAATGGGAATATTTATAAAAAACAGATAAGGGTAATTACGAGTAGCAAATGAGATAATATGTGTAAAACACTTTGCAAACCTTAAAGGGCTATGTGTCAGTTATTATCAGTGTAAAACAAAACCGATAATTTAAAAATATTAATTATATTAGTTACAAATATTATAATTGTAAAACAGAATTGATAAAAATACAAAATGGCTCTCAGTCTTTTGTGTCCCAGAATGACGGCAGAATGGAAAAGGAGGCAGAGGATGCTAAGAATCACACAGTTCTTAGAGTTTCCGTAGACATTAACTGTTGGTGTCCAAAATTCCTGCCTTATTTGGTACAGATGGTATGGAAAGCCCTTCTCTAATTGATACAAGTTTCAGTGAAGAACAAGTGGAAAGTATTCATTGTTGGTCTGGATCAGTATCAATAGCACATACTTTTCAAAACCAGTATGGCTTTCAATGGATAGTGTTCTGTATGGTGAGACAAACATCAAAAACAGGGTTATAGCTAGCAATTCCAGCCCCTGATGCAAGCACAATTCATCTTCAAATACACTTCAGCTGCTGGAAACTTTTTCTGCTGAAGTATATGTATTGCCAGTACCCTCAACATTTGAGTACCCCCTGGGGCAAAAACCACATTCTCCCAGACTAGTTAAGGCTCTGATTGAAAAGATTATACACACACACACACACACACATACACACACACACACACACATCTATATAATGACCATTTATATATGTGTAATATATGTAGGTATCTATAAACCTTTAGCAGCAAAGGATTTTTAAAACATTCAACTTTATCACTTACATGAAGAGAAGTGGATAGTTGTGTAATTTTTTGTTATCAATAAATCACAGCGGCAGAACCACATTGGCCTGGGGCCAGTAATCCCTCTGCTGCGCCTCTCATTTTATGCTGCAAACCCACCTTTCCATCATCACCCAGCTGTAGTGTTACTTCAAGAAATGGATTCCATGGTGACGAGAGTCCAAGCTTTGGATGCTGAGCGATTGACTGGCTTTGTACCCTTAGAAAAGTCATTTCCCTTCTCTTGGACTCAATTTCCTCATCCGTAAGACGAGAGATCAGAGAATTAGAACTGCAGTAGAATCTAGAAGCCATCAAGTCCAACTTTCTCCTTTTCCAGATGAAAAAAATGGAAGCACAGAGTGTTGCAAAGACTGCTGTTGCCCAGAATGGTATAACCCCAAAGTATCTGATGTGAGATTTCCTCCTTGATCTAGGTTTGTCCTAGTTCTAACCTTCTATGTAGTTGGTTTTTTTTTTTTTTACCATGGCTAAGAATGAAAATCTAACTATTTAGATTTTTAAAAATTGTTCACAAAGCGGGGCTCAGTGTTTAGATGGTCAGACTGTCGTGTTTAACATTATTTGAATATGATGGGAAATGGACTCTCCCTATGAACTGCTGGCCTCTCGAAAATAGCACTGGATTTCCAGCGGGAGGACACTAAGTAATATACAAAGCTCTGTCACCCATTTATCACTTGTTGCCTTTTGTTCATTCTCATTTTCATTCCCTTTAATAGTCTAGATTTTGAATTTTGTCCCTCTCAAGGCTCTCTGTAAATTCTTTCAAGAGGGGCAGTTTTCTTAGCTTCCTAGACATCAAGTTGTTTTCATCAGACACAAGTACTCCTAAGCACTGCATAATTATGCTTTTCTCCAGGAAGTGTTGGTCTCCAGAATCATCAGTTAAGTATTTGGAATCATCAGCATAACTGAATCCAGGCTTTTTGACCAGGCTGTTGTTTGAACATGCTTACAATAAAGAGGGGGTGAAGAGATGGTATCTATCTCTGATTTATTATGGATGAGGCTAAATGTGCCAGATTTTTGAGACAGAGGATGAAAAAAGATTCACTGGATATCTAGAAAAAAAAGTGTTGGTGTTTCACAATTTTGCATAGGTCTTTGCTTTTGACCTGTGTGTAAAGAATTGTTTCTTTGTGGCCCTTTTCAGATAGGACATTTTAATGCTGAAAAAATATTAAAGTATTTAAATCAACTATTAAAACTATTAAAAGATATAAAGAGCAAGATAGGTGACGCAGTGGATAGAGTATCAGGCTTGGAGTCAGGAAGACTCATTTTCCTGAGTTCAAATCTGGCCTCAGACTAGCTGTGTGACCCTGGGCAAGTCACTTAAATCTGTT